GATTTAAGGCAATAGCTGCTCAGAAATCCAAATGCATCTCATCAAGAGCCTTTTAAAAGAAAATTTTGTTGAGGAATGTTTCTGCTTGAAGAATAATCTTGTATTTTCTCCAGGAAGTTTTGAACAGATTCAGAAAAAAAAATTAGAAACTTTGAAACATTAATGTTTCTACTTTAAATATTCTGTTACAGTACTTTTCATATTTTTTTTAAGAAAGCAACGAAATTACTCATTATAACACAACAAGAGATTATAAATATAGTTATTATTAATTGATCGGTGTTTTGACTCTAAACATAATTTCGTTTGAGATTTTGAAACTGATCAGTGGAAATTATAGGATAACAAAAAAAGTTGACATTTCAATGTAGAGTGCATCAATTTTAAACAAAACCACTGTCTGAAAGACTCTTTCAACCTCTTTTAAAGAGTTCCCCATGTCAAAGGCTTACCTCCCCATGTTGTGCATGCACACTTTCAAGTCTGCCAGAGTTTAATAATGAGGGACAGATTGTGAGATCTCAGTTGTGCAAGAAAAACTGATTTTTTTCCATTCCAAGACTGCAATTGAAGTGGATCAGGGCAAGAGCCAGACATTCTCATCATGGACAGGAGAGGAAGAGTGGGCAGGAATGCAGATGATAAAGAGACAAGGAAATGCATTAGCAGTCCAAGCTTGTTGCTTTTGGGACTTCCAGGGGGAAAGGGAAACTGAGGCCATCTGGGCTGCCTCCAGCCAGGATTATGACAACTTCCCACATCCCAGCTCTTCCTTCAACAAAGCAGTGGAAACATCCAGTTTAGCCCTCAGTCACAAGCAGTCTGATTTCTTACCAAAGGCGTGACTTTCTAAGCAAAGTTTTCTTACCAACACTAAGATGCACAGAGCTGTCATATCATGACTTCCCAATTAGGCATGTGGCAAGGCTATCCCATGTACTACAGGATGTTTTGATGCAAAAAATAAAGGGTTCATTGACCCTTCTTCAATAATAATTTTCTGATTATCTCCCTCTTCCTTGAAAACCCTCCTGTAGTACTGGCTCAGTATCATACCATGCCAACATCAGGTAGATCAACAGCTCTTGAAATTAGCATAGGCTTTCTTTCAGGGCTCTCACACATCTAACTGTTCCTCATCCTATTTTCTTCACAATAGCTGGCACAAGTGCATTAAGAATATGCTACAAAGAAGTTTATGATTATTTGTTGCTTTGATTAAACACTGACTGTAGCCATTTTGGGGATATCTACAACTACCTAACGTCAGTTTCTTAAAAATCACATCAAATACAAAAGATTTTGTGAGTTTTTTTGATACTCAATGAAGAGAAAGAAGCATGTTTATAGGGCAAGTAATTTTTTCTGATACCATATGTGAGACTATGGTACCAATAACTCAAGAGGTATCTTTTTCCTTCTGCCAGTCAAAAAAGGGGACCTAGTTGACTAACTAAAAGCAGATAATTAATACTTTAGAAGGTAAAATTGTGTCAGACGAATCCCAACAACTATGTTGTAACTTTATCTTGCAGTGAAAAATGGAGGTTTGGCAAGCAATAAGCTCTATATTGGAATATAGCTATGCATATGCTAATGCATATGTATTTAAATACTAATGAATCTATCCAAACCCCATTAAAGCACAACTATATTATTCTAATAATATTCTAGTATAGCTATTCTTTGCACCAACTGCGCTCTTTCCTTTTTCACCTACCTTTCTATCTCTTCATAGTCTGGAAGAGATCACTGCCTGAATACTCGGTATGTGGTCATAGTTTTTTAACTTAATGAAGAATACCTTATTGAAGAAACATCTCATTCTCTTCATTGCATACTGTTTGGCAATATTCTCTAGTGCAAAAAAAGGTTTTAAAATTAGATTGCTTCCTGTTACTCATCTTGTAAGTCTCAAGTCTCTGTGTAGTTTTGCAGCAGTGAAATACCATTTCACTCTAATGCTGTAGAGGAAATTGCCTCCTTCGCCATTGTTCAGGCAGGACCACCAAGCAAAGGGGAGAAGGGATCCTGCTGGGGGCTGCACTGAGGTCAGAGAAGGGGAAAGTGGGCGGCTGCAGCTCCTGTGCACACAGTGTTTATTCCCAATGTGTTTGTGCCTGGGAGCACAGGAGCCACAGCCTGCACCCAGGACAGACACAGCTCTGGCAGCGTGTCCTTGCCATTCAAACCTGGTATTCAGCCAGCCAAGTGCTAGGCCTGTCCTTAGTCATGAGGGAAAATTATGCCAGTGAAAGCAATTCTTTTTGATATGGAAAAACGTCAGAAGGGGCTTGGATAAGATTAGAAAAACAATTTCCTTTGCTGACCAAACACAAGTTTTAAGCCAGGTCACCAAAGGTGAAATGTCACTACACCAAGTTATGTAGTTTTGACTTCCCAGTTAATCCTTATTTCAAGGTAATGAAACTTAACTGTCAGCTGGAATACCGTGTCCAGCCCCAGTACCTACACCTTCAAAAGGATTTTGAAAAATTGGAAAGCATTCAGGAAACCACTTCAGGAATGCTTTGAGAACTCTTTAATCCAGCAGACAAAGGCATAACAAGATCCAGTATCAGAAAGCTGTGTTTTGAAATATTCAGATTAAAGTAAAGGTTATAAGAATTACATAAGCAGGGAGGGACTTATTAAATTATCCATCACTGAAAATTTTGAATCTAGAGTGGTTTATCTCATTAAAAAGATCATTCTTTGCTTAGCTAGAAGTATGGATTTGAGTTGAGAATTTCAAGATTTTTAAGATTCCTCTTGGATCTTGATAAGCAGTAAATCAATGTGAAGTAAGGTACTTACTTTCAAGCATTATGTCTCATGTCTTCTCTATTTGAGCATGCCCTTTAAAGTTGGTACAATAGTCGCATACCCAAAGGAAAACCCAAGCCTAGCTTTAGATAAACTTCCATCATTGGTTATTTCAAACTGTGGTCTTTGATTCTTATAGACAAAAAAAAAAATGCATTGTGGTGGTTTTTTGTTTGTTTAGGGTTTTTTGTTTGTTTGTGTTTGTGTGCGTATCTCTGTGTGTGTGTGGTAGAGATGTGAGTTATGATCCAATCTTAGACACATGTTCAAAGTGCTGGGGAAGAGATCATGCTGCAAAGAACAGCTATAGATAACAATTTGCTCTAGGACTCTTTCTTTCTATACTTACTCCAAGTTCACTTGCAAATCATAGACTCATCAGATTTGATCAGTATTTAGAGGCACTCAGATATATCTTACAAAAAGAATTTACTTCAGACCATTCATATTTTCTATATTTGACATTCTTACTGCAGTGGTTACCTGGTATTGTTTATGTTACCTGAGTGGATGAGTGGCCTAACACATCAAGCACAAATACTTGTACATGTGTGCTATCCACAAACGTTTCCTTGAGTAAAATTTCATTACTTAATCAGAATATGAAAATGTGCATAAGCAAAACTGAAATTATTTGAGGTCTTTAAAATATTCTCTGAGTTCTTTGCACCAGTGCACCAGTGCAAAGAACCTTTTTCAGAGGAAAGTGGACTGATACATCAGAGACTTGTGATGTCCCCTTCTCTTTTACACATAATTTTTCTAGGTGCTATGCTGCACCTTTTACCTATTGCTTCTCCATCTCTTTGTATGTAACTTTCTAATTGTCAAATACTTCTGTCACCAGAGCTTTCTCACACTTTTCCTTATGTCTTTTTTCTTCCCATCCTGACCACTCAATTCCAGATGATTCCATTCCCACAGGCCCTTGATTTAGAAAAGTATGAAAATTAGGAGGCATATGTGCAAGTCCCCTTGCTATAGCTACACTATGGAGTTTTGCTCATCTGAAGTCCAGTTTTCCACTGCAGATGTCCAGGGCACCTGGATGAAACATATGGTACTTTATGGCATGAAGTAATATTCTCACTATGTGTACCCACAGCACTTCAGGAGCAGCAAAAGTTCTAATCTTTATCTCTGAATCTTTTTGAATTTCCTTCTGGTTAGAGGGAATAGCACTAATCCTGCCCTCTTACATAACATTTAATCAGATGATGGTATTGAAAGCAGACCTGTAGACATGCTTATATATTCAGAAGTTTGTTGGCTTACTTCTAATTATGTAAGTTGGCTTGCTAGGAGCAACATACGCCTCCCTTTTCAACTAAAGGATTCGTGAGGTTGTTAAATGAAAGTACAGATCCGGGACTAGAACAAAAATAACTATGGGGTGCATTGCCTTCTGGTTTCTAGAATGATTTAAGTGGTTTAATCTTATTTCATTAGCCTGTGAATTTCTCCTTATTCCTACCCAGGCTTACCATCTTATATAGAAAAATGGATTATTCAGATCTTGAATAGCATGGCATGAAAAGAGAGATAAGTGTGCACGGCAGTACTGTCATTTTTAACTTGCTGAAGATCCTTAAGTACTTTGCAGCTGGAAGCTTTATAAATACTTGATTGTAATCAAATATATCATTTAGAGAAAGTACAGTGTTTTCCACATGCAGTGTCAAGCACTCATGGCAACTGCTGCAGACCCTTGTAAAATAATAAACATATCTGCACTGCCTGGACTGCTCTGTGTTCTCTATGGATGAGCCCCTTCTGGTCCCTGCATAATTTAACCTAAATTAAAATAGATAGCATATTTTATCTCTTATTGATATAAAAATGTAAAAGCTTTTATATGAACAGTAAGACATCTCCCTATCAAACCTTATTATCAAACTGAATAATTACTAAGTGTTAGGTATAGCTACCTGAAGCACCCTACCCTTTGATGTCTATTATTCTGGAAATAATCCTAGCCCATCAGTAAAAAAATAAATAGAACCATAGATTATCCTGAGTTGGAAGGGACCCACAAGCATCCAGAAGTCCAACTCCTGGCCCTGCACAGGATACCCCAGGAGGCTCACTCTGTGCCTGAGAGCACTGTCCAAACACTTCTTGAACCCTCTCAGGCTGGTGCTGTGATCACTTCCCTAGGAAGCCTGTTCCAGTGTCCATCCACCCTCTGGATAAAGAATCTTTTTCTAATACCTAATTCAAACCTCCCTTGATATAACTTCATACTTTTCCCTTGTGTTCTGTCTCTGGGCACCGGAGAGAAGAGATTGGCACTTGCCCCTTGGCCTTCCCTTGCAATGAAGATGTGGACTGCTATAGTCTGCAAAAGACCACAACCTCCCTCAATGGTTTTCTTGAATGTTCATAAAGGATAGCTGATTTTTGAGAAGGGACAGCCATCTGCATTCATTTAGATTCCAGCTCAGCCTCCCAGAAGGTGGCAGGTTGTCTGGGTTAGCAGCAAGTGTCCTCATGGAAGTCGGGATGGCTGGAGTGGGAAGATGGCACACCTTGCTCCTAGAATTTGTGACAGAGCTCTTCAGGTGCCAGATTTGCTCTTGAGATGTATTTTTTTGGGGTAGTTCAGCTCTTCTATCAGTTTGAACCTGACATTGCACCTTTGTACTGACATAGTCAGCTCAAATCCAAGAAATTCCTAGCCTCTTCAAGAAGAGGAAAAGATAAATCTTGAGCTAATTTTTCCTTAAATTCACTCTCTTTAAATAGTCCCTCTTTACATACGTAATTTTGGTTGCATAACACACAGTACTTGGCATCATGTTTTATTTAAAAGAAGACTTCATAGTGAATCCACCCACAGCTGCCAAATATCTCCTAATAACTAACAAAAAATAAAGAAGGAACTGAAGGAATTAAGAAACAATGTGCTATATTAGTTACTGCACATATATCTCTCAAAGTTTAGCTGGATAATTTAGTCAGAAATGGACAGACATTATTGTGTGGCATTAGGAGCAAAAAGAAGGAAAGAATTCCATCATTTACATTGAATTGATGAATGAAGTATTATTAACTGTGCATAAATTGCATTAAACTGGACAGGTAAATTAACAAAACTTGGCAAAAATAATTCAATTCATTGTCAAATTGTACAATTAAAACAAGCTGATGCTGTTCAAACTGGTACATTTCACTTAAAAATGCATATAAATAATCCTAGATTTCCAGCAAATAGAAGATACCGCTTGTTCCAACCAAATCTCAGTCCCATTCTGTTCCATGAAACACAAGTGAATGGTTTTGTAGTAAAACAAGTATTGTTGTTATTCACTTTTCATTGTCTCTGATCACATCTATTTATTTCCTATTATGTAAAAAAGCCTCTTAAGAAAATTGCTTAGAATCATAAAATGCTAAGGGTTGGAAGGGACCCTAAATATCATCTAGTCCCAGCCTCACCTGCCATGGGCAGGGACAGCTTTTACTAGACTAGGTTGCCCAAAGTCTTTTCCAGCCTGGTCTTGAACACTTGCCAGGGCTGGGGCATCCACAACTTTCCTGGGCAACCGGTTCTAGTATCTTACCACCCTCACTATAAAGAATTTCTTCCTAATACCTTTTTTCCCTAGTTTTGTTTGCAAAAAACATTATTATTGTTCTGTCACTACAGTTCCTGATGAAGAGTCCCTCGACAGTTTCCCTGTAGGCCCCCTTGAGATACTGGAAGGTTGCTGTGAGGTCTCACACAGCCTTCTCTTCTACAGGATGAACAGTCCCAACTCTCAGTCCACCTTTTCAGGGAACTTGCTCCAGTCCTCTTAACAACTTCATGGTCCTCCTCTGGGCTTGCTCCATGGACTGTTCCATGTCCTTATGCTGGGGACACCAGAACTGAACACAATACTCCAGCTGGGGTGTCACAAGAGCAAAGTAGAAGGGGAGAATCACCTCCATCAACCTGCTGACCAGACTCCTTATGATGCAATCCAGGATTCCACCGGAGAATCTTTCTGGGTTGCCAGCGCACATTGGTTTTTCATCAACCATCACCCCCAAATCTTTCCTCACAGAGCTGCTCTCAATTACTTTTCTGCCCAGCCTGGAGGTTGCCTGGGATTGCTCTGACCCAGGTGCAGGACCTTGCCCTTTGCTTTGTTGAACTCAATGGGTTTTGCATCCGCCCATCTCTCAGGTGTGTCAAGGTCCCCCTGGATGGCATCCCTTCCCTCCAGCATGTCGACTGCCACTCAGTGACACCACTCAGCTCGGTGCATCCGTTAAATTGCTGAGGGTGCACTCATTCCCACTGCCCATGTTGCCAGCAAAGATGCCAGCAAAGATAACATAAAGGGATCTAGACCAGGCATTATGTTTTCAAGGGCTTGCAGAGACAGCCATATGGGGCAAACGTTACATTATTAGATATTCTCTTGTCACCTCATCACCTAATTCAGAAGCAGCTTAGTATTATTTCTTCATAACTATTAGCTGACATGTTCATAATACATTTGAAATATTGAAGAGGATACTGTCTTTTGTTTGAACTGATGGTTTCAGTTAAATGCTTGTGTACTTCCCAAAACATCCAGTGCCAATTACTATCAGTGAGATATATTTCGGTTTAATTAAAATATCAAATTCAATTGTGCCATGTGATATTAATATAACAAGGGATATTAACTTCTGCCTTGTGTGATGCACATATTAAATTGTTATCACATGTACTCCATCCTCAGCATATCCCTGGCAGGATTCTTGTCACTTAAAATCTGCCCCGCTGTCAGAAGGAACCACTCACCATTTTATTTGTTTGATTGGAGCATCGTCTGCTGCTTGGGGTGGGGGTAGGCTCTGTTTGCTTTGGGCAATTCAAACATCTTCCACAAGCTGCTTGTCCTGTTGTAGTGAGGAAGAAAGTGCCTGTTAGAGTTCAAAGGAGACATGTCCTCAGTCATGGACAGCGATGGGCTGCTTCAAGAGCAGTACCAGGGGAAAGCCTGAGGAACACAGAGCAAAAGAGGTGGAACATTCCTTACAAAGTGTAACAGCGGTGGCAGGCTGGGAACTGTTCTTTCCTCTTCTTCATAGCTGCTGTGACATGAGATCCACAAACAAGGACAATATGTTGCTTTCTGTGAATCTCTTCTCCTTTGCAACATGATGCAACTAATTAGGCTTCTTTCATCTTAGGGAAGTTCTGAATGATTTTTCCTCTGAAACACTAGAAATTTGAAACACTACAAAAAGCAAGAAGCTGGGGCATGTTATATGAGGATACAATAATTACAGCTTGGTCAGAGACCAGATTTTGAGAGGAAAACCACCAGGAGATGAAGAACTAAAGCAGAGCAAGGATACACTAGCTGATGCAGCTGAAGGCAAACTCCCCCCAAATTCTGAAACTTTGAATTTTACTTTTTCTCCAAGTTGCATGTGCTGTTTGGGAGTAGAGGGAGGCATTACACAAAAAGCATCACTTGTAAGAATCTCACTCAACACATTTTCATGAAAGAAATTAACCAGAGACCCTGTTAATTACTCACAGTTCTTGGAAGAAGCTATATTGGCTGCCTTCCTGGTTCCACACATATTGCCTTTATTAGGCGTTATAGCAAGTGAATCATACATGACAGGGCTGGTCTGGCTCAAATATTTTGAGGTTATCTGTTCCTATTTAGTGATGTTCCCTAGAGATCCAGATGTCCCCAAAGCCCCTCATGGCAGAGAAGAAGGAAGAGAACTCATCTTAAATGGACTTCTGTTCTCTGCTACTCATCTCTCTTTTTTGTCTAGATAATATCGCAATCCAACCAGAGAATATAGAGATGGAGTGAAGATTAACTGGTGACCTCATTCATTCATTTCATCCCAGATTCTGGCAGGATTGTCTGCTCTAAAACCAGTAGAGCACTATCAAAACAGGGTAAAAGAGGTGTCTAAGGTTAATATAGAGAAGGGGAATGACAGACTTCAGAAAGTCTGAAGTTGTCACTGAAAGTTGTTACAAGAAAAAGTCTAGGCCAGTCGTAGAGCATACGAAACAGAAAATATAGGACATTTGTGATGCTTTGGCACATGAGATGACTGCTTTCATTCTAGATTAGCAGTTTTTGAAGGATTCTTTGGTGAATGGGAAGGTTTTGTAAAGTGTTCATGATTTAATGATCCACAGCTTTAAAGGTAGTGTTGAGAGGCATTTTGACTACCATACTCTGAGAGAGGACTAGTGAATATTTGCAGACCCATTCTGTCTTAAAAGGGCATTAACATCTCATAACCTTCTCTCCCTCTGCTTTTTGTTTTTTTCCCTATTCTTCACTAGTTATGCCTTTTCTTATTATGCTCTCTTGAAAAAGAGTATGGCATAATTTTATATTAAGTCTTCATCAGTCAAGGTTGGAACCATCCCCAGGGTAGACAAAAATTCCAGTCAAGGATAAATTTAAGGCCTTGCATAGACTAATCTTATTTAATCTGGTAAACTGAATTTGTGAGCCTTCTGGTGACTTTTCAAAGGTAGATGTGTGTGAGGAGCAATTATTTCCTTCCAGAGAACAAACAAAGGAGAAACAACTTTCTACTGCCTAAAGCCTGAGCTCCTGGAGCACACAGAAGGGCTCAGGGCATCTGGATATCTCAAATAAAATTTTGATGGGAATGAACTGAAAGAAGCTAAAGGAAGGTGATAGCACTTTCATTTCCTTCAAAGGTATGCATAGAGAGTAATTTATATTTGAAGTCAGAACCAGGCAATAGTGTTTCATTCATGATGACTGTGAAGTACACAGATGGCATTTTTGCCAGGAATACATTTATCCATGTTAATGAAGTTCTTTATCAGGGGTTATATGAAGTATTTACTCATGTTCTGGGATGGGATGTTGCCCTGTCTAGGTAGAGACATATTTTAGAGTTGTTTTTCACATAGCAAAGATAAAGTACTGAAAAAAACAGGATCAAAATTACCGCTGCTTAGAGTGCTTTCCTGGCTTGAATCCACAATGTTAGAAAGAACTCCAAACTACAAGACAGGTGCACTATGTCCAAAGGCATTTAGGTGCCTAATTGTCTGTGAAAACAGTAGGAGCCATTGAAGATCTTGACAAGTGTGATTTATCTTACAGGGACGCCACATTCTCCTGCATTCTTGCATCTTCTCCTAAGCCAGGACCCAACCTTGCCCACACGACCCAGCCCACCGGCGGCGGAATTATCGCGCAGATAAGCCGTGTGCCAAATGTTCTGCGTCAACAGTGGGATATCGTGCTGTGTAATTCCCATTCAGAAAGGTGCCTTGGAACGGAAGTTATTAAGGAGCCACAAGTGGAATACTTGTGCTGAGTGAGTGTAGCTGGGGCGGGTCCAGCCACTGAAACTGAAGAAACTCAAGACCAGGAGTCAGACACCAAGGACATGCCAGCCCACGGCTCCAGATGGAAACGCACCAAGGAAAACTGAGAAATCAGGGCTACCTCAAACCAAAGAGCAAATCAAGAGCAAGGTCAGGAAATCAAAGAGCTTGCACTGAAAGTGGTGGATAAATTTGAGCTAGGACTTAAACAAGACAATGCAGTTTAGCTGAGAGGCAGGAACCTAGAAGAAACAAAGAGGTATTTGTAAGGCAGTGAAATAAGTTGTGGGACTGTACCTGAGTCAGAAACATACAGCATCCCATAGACAGTCAGGAATCTCAGCCAGTCTCTACCAATCTCCCAGGAGGCTATTGAGCCAGCTCCTGTCTGCAGAGCTTGATCATTTACTCAGGGCCTAAGAGAGGAGGATAAGTGTGTAACCTGACACAAATGATCATTCAGTGCAGATATGTCAATTTAAAACCAGGAATGATTCATTAAAACCAGGAATAATTCATATAATCAGCAATAGGGACCACCAGATCTCCCAGGTTTCTTCTTTTCTCGTTTATGTAACTGTGGATTGTGTCTCAGGGCAGGAATGAGGTTGGGGTATGTGACTGACAGTACCATCTCTCAAGCCTCCTTTGGCTCTGTGGATGTGCTACAGCCCTTCGTGCTCCGCAGGCACTCCTGCCAGATGTGCTCACAGATCAGCACAAGCTCTGTGCTCAGGGCTGCAAAGCAGAACAGTTTCTGTAGTGGCGATGACAAAGATATGGTCCTTGCTGTGAAGGAGATGGGCACCAGTTGTTTGTGTTTTGTCTCAGTGTGAGACAAAAGACGTGGATTACAGTCATTCCTGAAGTGTGGCCACATCAGAAGTAAGAATGTAGTATTAAATCTGTAGATTAAAAGTAGGTATAGGCTTCAACATCTTGCTGAATTAATGGCTCTGTAGTTGCCAGGGGACATTAAAAGGTTAGTCTGTTAGTTTAACTACAGCATACAATAAGTCAGGCACTCACAGTAGAGGAAAGATGCAGCAATATCTATACAAATGTGCTTTACAGGGATATTGCTGGATAAATGCTATCTGCAGAATACAACTCTTTCAGTTTTAAAATTAAAAAAAAATCCACATAACTATTTTTAGTGGCATAAAATTCTAGTTGTAGACCACAACAAAGAATAAATATGCTGTGTATTTTCCATGTCAGATCAAGACCCTTTGCAGTTCTCACTAACCAAACTGTAAAAAAAAAAAGAAAAAAGTTGCTTAGAATCCAAAATGCCTCAGTTTGCTTACTACTATATATGTGAAAGAAATACGTGGGAAAAACAATCATTGATCAAACAGAAAATGAAACATTTCTGGTTTAAAAATAAAGCCCATAATGAGAAAATAAAAATTATTTATGAAGTCAAACGACTTTTAAATCTTTAAATTCTCCACATACCTTCTAGGATTATAGTAACCTGTGGAAGGTCATTATAGTTATAAGGGAAAAGATTAAATAAGCACTTAAGCAGACATAAATAAAACAGACAGGTTAAAAGCTATCAAATTGAACAAGACTAGAGGGAAACTTATCAGCTCTGTAAAAGAATCCAAACACAGAAGGAAACAAACACAATGTTGAAAATAGTTAAAGGGAAGTAGCAACTCTGGAAGTACAAAATCTTTTTAAGTCCCAAGTCATCTATACCAAAGAAAGTTTTTGGTCCATAAGGAGAAGTATGACAAATATATTACAGAAAAACTTCTGTAATGATTTTGGAGCTCTTTCCCCCAAACAACACATAGCAGGATATAAAATTTGCATTAAAATTATAAGACAACATGATTGAAAATTAGTAGCTAGAAGAAGCCTAAGGGAACAGCCTACTATGATGTTTGTTTCAGCCAATGCTCAGCTGGAGGGCTGTACCCCTTCCTCTGACACAAATACCTGTCTGTTGAGGGAGAAAAACAGGAGGCTGAAAAGAGGCCTTGAGAATGGAGTCTGCATTCTTCCCAGAAAGAAGTCAGAGAGAGGACAGGCAGCACTTTCTGACTTCAGAAATACTGAGACAGTGTGTATATATATATATATATATATATACACATATATATATATATATACATGTGTGTGTGAGCTAGTCATTTGGATCAGGAGCATGCAGGGAGAGGAATGCCTGTGACAGAGGTGTTGGGGGGGCGATGGAGGTGCAGTGGCTGCTGTGTCTCTTGGGACATGGCTGGAAATGTAGCTTGGTCTCTAAACCAGCAATTTCATTTCTCCAAGGAAAAATTAATTGGCAACATATAATAAAAAAGAAATAGGACCTTTTAGTTATTTTTGGGCAGGGGGGGTAAGTAAAGTTCTAGAGGTGTAGCTTCATTGAATTCACTGAGGGATATTTTTGCTAATAAAGCTTTTAAAATGAGGGATACATTATACTCCAAGTATGGATATTTCTAAATATGTCTGGGTTTATATATTTCTCAATATTTCTATTTTTATTTTTCTGACTTTTGCCCGCACAAAAGATAAACAAAACCATTCTTAACTAGTTCTGTATGCCCCAAAGAGACAAAAGTATGCATGCTTTATAGGGAATGAAAAATAACATACCATTTTGTAGGAAAAAAATTAATTAGCTGCAGAATCAATTAAAAACGTTATGGATGTCACCATTAAAAATGTACATACTGGTGTCACGCAAAGGTACCTCTGCAACTCCATTCTCTGTTTCAAATGTTTCAATCTGACAAATTTGGATAACTACTAACTTTTAATTGCATGTGATGTGCCAACAGGCATAGATGCTGCTTAGTTCAATAGCATCAGTTAAATGCAGGTCATTGCATTAATTAAGAGTTCATCTGTTACAACTCACCATTTTGTTCTCCTTAATTTTAATAAACATTTTTGCCAGCATACTTACTGGAAATATTACAACATCTTCCTGCACTGAGAAAACCCACAGAACCTATTTATCTGGTTCTACTGTATGCTGTTTAAACAGAGGGTGAAACCAAAGGCTTGCCATTTTGCCCAGAAGACCGGTCTAAGATTTGCTTTAAGATTACAGCACATCTGCGGGAGGGAAAAGGCTTTTCCGCAGGTCACTTAAGTCATCCTGAGCGAAAGGAATACCAACACCAAAGGTGCACCAAGGAACGAGAGCCACAGCCGCTGAGGGTGAATAACCTGAGATTCAGGACCAGGAGGCATCCTGATTCTATTTTCTGTGCGCGCAGTTAACCCAGCCGGGGCTGGGAGCCCGAACGGCGCAAGAAAAGCAAACTCAGCTCAGGCAAAGAATGCTTTGTCCTACCTCAGATTTAGCCCTCAGGTGATCAAGCGCTGCATGCTTTTAATTTTACCAGCTAGGGATATTTTTTTTAAGCGTGCAGAGAACAAACGCGTCCGAATATTGAGCGTGACACAAAATGTCACGAATGCTTAAAGTTGCGGGTCCTTCAGCTCACGGAGGAAGATGCGAAGGGAAGGAGGGTGTTTTGGACCCTCGATTGGACGTCGTCTTGGGGAC